CACACACACACACACACACATATATATATATATATAATTATATATATATAATATATATATATATATAGTTTATTATAAACATAAAGATAGTCATGTGTTATTAATATTAACAATTGCATTATTTATTATAATTTTGGTTAATGGTTAAAGTTTATTTTATTTTATTTATTATCAATTCTTGCTCGTTGTACAATAAAAAATTTAAATACTTAATTTTTAAATCTTATATATTATTAACTAGACTATAAAAATTAAATAATGATACTCATTATTTATTCTAAACATAATATAATTTTCTTTTTATAGTTTTTTATTTATATATAGCTTATTATAAATATAAAGATCGTCATGTGTTATTATTATTAATAATTACATTATTTATTGTAATTTTAGTTAATGGTTTATTTTTTATCAATTTTTGAAAGTTGTACAATAAAAAATTTTAATACTTAATTTTAAAATGTTATATTATTAACTAGATTATAAAAAATAAATAATAATACTCATTATTTATTTCAAAAATAATATAATTTTCTTTTTTTTTAGTATTTTTATTTTTAAACTTAGTTTAAATTGTTTTTACGTTAGAACTAATTATAAAATTATTTTATTTTACTTTTTCACATGAAGCAGGTCTGGTGGAGTTGGGACTGGGTAAAGCCGCCCAAATTTAAGAACTCGGGTTACCTATACCCGACGAAAACCCGCTAACATGCTGAGTAAAACTCAATCCGAACTCAAAGTTCACTAGCCGAGTAACGAATCGAGTTTGGGTAGGGTAAATTATATGGGAGTCAAGTTTGGGTTTGCCAAAACCCGCCCCCAACCTGACTCGTTTATATCCCTAAGTATGCATTACATTTTAGTCTTAGATCATTTGTAAAGTCGCGATGACTTTTATCATTTCTGTTTTTCAAGTTTAACAATTTTAGACATGTTGGCTTGTGATTAGCCGCACGAGATCGTCAGGTGTATGTTGTGAGCTCAAGGTTTTAGCAGATGGGGGTAGAGATGTCAAAACGGACTGGCGGGGTGGGCCAGCCCGCAGCCCGTCATCTTGGCGGGCTACAAAATGGCCAGCCCGGCCCACCCCCGCCATGGGCCGCGGGCTCGGCGGGCTGGCCCGCCCATTTACAAAAAAAA